CTATAACCAAATCTCTGTTATTATAACTAAACCTTTTTCTGGGTGTATGAAAGACTCCTTCCAGGCTGACGGAAAAACGCCATGTTTAAGTGACAAATTTAATAGAGTTGTTAAAGGCTCGCAGATGTTCTTAATGTTAATTTTTTACTTTTATAAGCGTAAACAGCTTTATCGAACACAAAATTTAAACAGATCACAGAAAAACACAGCTTCACAGCTTGACGTTTGCGTTCTTTCGATTTAATCTGACATTCACGGCACCCTTTTTCACTTGGTGATTTTTAGTAATAACTCGACTCCAGCGCCACGTGGCAGCATTTTTTTGCAATAGTATTGCTCTTACTGTTACCAGTACATATTTTAAATATTAGCCGAATCGGATCATAAATAAGATTTTTAGTAATAACTCAACTACAGCGCCAACTGGCAGTTTATATTGTGAAACTAAACCGCCCAGAAAGCCACTCAAACACACACAAAAAATTTCGTTAAAATCCGGACACCCATTTAGGAGGATTTCACTCACGAATCCACCTACAGAAGAATTATAAATACATTCAAAGATAGCTAATGGTCGGTACGTTTGTACGCCCCACGACCCTTTTCAAATAACCCCATTTTTCTCCATGAGTATTGGCTTGATTTCATATATCTCCATACAAAGTTCCAGTACTGTACCATCAACACTTCCAGAGATATGCAGTATAAAAATTCGGTTTGTATGGGAGGTGCCATGCCCCTCTTCCAATAGCTGAAATTTTTTTTCAAGAGTATGCGACTGATTTCATATATCTCCGCACCAAACTCCAGTACTCTACCATGAACACTTGCCTAGATATGCAGTATGAAAAATTCGGTTTGTATGGGAGGTGCCACGCCCCCTTTATATATCGAAATTTTGTTTAGCCTTTAACCATCCTTGGGATGTGTGCGGCAGGTGTCTGAAATTTAAAAAAAAAAATGTTCAGCTGTTCTCGAGCTTTGCGAACACAAAGAAACGGCTATTAGTATAGATAGGCAAACAGGTTTTCTTTTCATCCGTTTTACTGCTAAACTATACTTCTAAGGTATAAAGAATTATATATCATTCGATTTTTTTAATTATATTTTTTCTGGTTTTTAATTTACACTTTGTTCCTTTTTAATATTTATATTTTACTTATTTGAAAGGAAAAATATATTTGTTTTATTTCATTTATTTTTAGGATCTCATTGTATTTTTTTGATTTTATTTCTTCTTCTTTTTTTAATTTTCTTTTTATTTAAAGATTTTATTTTAAAAATAAAAATTCTTTTTTAATTTAATTTATTTTATAGGTACTGTTTTCTTCTTTTTGTCTCTCATTTCCCCTTACTAAATAGATGCTTAGCCATTAACGTAGCACAGCTGATTACACCCGTCAAATTGGTAGTAAAGCCGTACATGTCCGAAAACTGAAATTGAACTTGTCCGGTTATCGAACTCACAGATTAAATTAAAAGAAATTGTATGAGAAAGAAAAGAAAATTTGGTGAAAAAAGAGACAAATTCAGAGTTTTTAAATTCCCTCCATTTAAGTTAATTAAACTTTATCCTTAAAGAAACTCTCTCATTTCGATTCTGAGAATACCCGTTTTACGACTTGGCAGCACAGAAAGTTCAGGGGGCGATGAACAACTACCAACAGTTATATTCAAAATGCACCGCTTTGAATACTACGGATTTATTGTACATGCTTTTATAAAACTAGCGATAGTGCAGTGTTTATGAGTAAAAACATTTTTACTCGTTATTTAAGAATTGTATAACACGCAAACGCAAAGCTGGTATTAAATTTTTTTGATTTTGGAATGTTTTACTTGATAAAGGAAATCTCCTACAATTTATTAATAAATTCCCATACATGTTTCTCGTAGCAGTGGCACTATTGGAAGATATTATAAAAAATAATCCTTTTGACAGCGCTCTCACGAGAAAAATAGTTTCGTACAGTGTTGCCACACATGCGCTTTTCCTACCAAAACTGGTAGGCTTCCATTTCCATTTGGTAGGTTGGCAAGAATGATAGAATACAAGATTGCGCCGTCCTGGGCGTTGACATTTGTGTACCACAAGTAAACAAAGAATAGAGCGAAAAGAAGAACGAGTTGAAACTGCAAAAGCAGTTCACTTTACAGCGAAAAACGTGTTTTAATTTTGCTAAATGTGTAAATATTGCATTTTTCACCTAATCTATTAGAGAACAGTGAACATTTTAGTGCACTCCATTGCTTTGCAATTGAGGCTGATTCAGCAAACGTTTTAGTGCACTCCATTGCTTTGCAATTAAGGCTGCTGCAGCATCTCTGCGGGATTGATTAGTTAACTTGCTAATGGAGGCTGCGTGGAGCAGAAACAAAATCATTGTGAGGAAATGCTGTTAATATAATAATAGAGAAACATTTCGGGAACGGCTTTGCCGTGCCCTATGTACACAAAATGCAGCGATTCGTCCCAGCGCTACACTTGCATCTACACTTCTTGCATCTTGACGACTGTCGCAATTTAACACACAGCACTTCATTTTATTAGTTTTTACGCAGTCTTCAACTCAAAAATCACTCACAAATTGCAAATTAACACAATTTAAACTGATTTTTCACTTATAATTCAAATTTCTCTTTCGCTGATTTGTAACAAAAGTTTGTTTACAAGTTACCACAAATGTCAAAATCGGCGAAACCAAAGTAGCGGTACCACTGACGGCGCCACCTTTGTTCGCTGCACCGTGGGTTGGTAGGCTTTGAGTCCTTTCGAATTTGAAATATGACAGGTCGAAGTAAATACTTTTTGAAGTGAGAATTTTTTTATCGGGACAGGGTGATTTTTAGTTTTATGATATTAGAAACCGGCACTACGCCAGACCTCTTTTCACTCAGAAACGGTTGCATGGATTTAGATGAAATATGGCGCTTATAACTGTGACTAATAATACATTTTCACACTCGTTTTGCAATATCGTAAAACTAAGTTAAAACTACTTATTAGAAGTCTGAAATGCGACTATGAATAGAAGTGAATTTCGAGTTGGTACTTAAATTAAAGTTGCAACTTTATTAGTTTCGACTTAGTGGCTGGACTATGAATACGCGCCATAGTAATTTTGCCTCATTTATCCAAAATTCAATTAACGCACATGGCTTGGATGCATTTATGCGCCGATGTGCACACTGTAAACGTCAACATAAAATGAGGTTGATGTTTTTCTTTCGAATGCAATGTTCGCAAACCACGCCACAAACATGCTCACTGAAAATCAAAATTTTTAGATTTTTTGCGAACATGCTCCTGAACCGCCCCACAAACGACGAACATGCACCGCAAGCCGAGCATGATCGCGCACATGTTCGTCGTTTGTGGCCACTGTTATCCATGACTATGGGCCGGAAATTGATTTGCGGGAATCCCCTATTAAAGCGTAAAATTTAAATCTTGCCACAAGGAAAAATTTTACTATGACAAAGTTGATTATTGAGTGAAACTTAACGAGATCACAAAGTATTTGTAATTTCCGTGGAAATTTATTCTCAACTTTTTTATTGCTGATCGTGCGTGATAAATATCAATTATTCTTTTGTTTTAGTTAAAACTTAATACTATTTTACATCTGAAAAATGGCAAATCATCTCGGTGAAGTTATTGAACGCTATTTGAAAGCCAATCATATCGATGGGAGTACCAAGTGCTTAAAGTTTACATATACTGAGACATATTCATCAACGGATAATAGCCGAAAAATTGATGTAAATTATAAGATCGGACAAGTAAAAGAGGTTTCTTATTATTCAGGACAATCCAAATTCACGGCCGTTGTTAAGGAAAAAGTTTCAGATGGAAAAGAATCCCTTGAAGTGTTTATGTATTTGAGGGTAATGCCTGAAATGAAACGTATTTTGGAAGAATACAATAAGGTTTGGGAAGATACCAAACAGAAATTTGGTGCAAAGTAAGTTGAAAGCAAGACTTTATGTATGTACGTAAGTGCATGCATTAATCTTTTGGAGTTTTTTTTGTGTATATCATTTAAAAAATCTCCCTTCCAGTTATATTTATTCTGAGGGGAACTTTTTATTTTTGGAGTATTTACAAAGTCAAGATTATCAGCGCATCAGTGACTTGAGTCTGCCAATCCATGTTGCGAAAGCTACCTTACGAAAACTGGCCCAATTTCATGCTTCTTCTTTGGTATATTTGAAAAAGGTATGTGTATATGTACGTACATCTATATATATGCATGCGTATGTATATTAGGGTGCATCAATCTGCATAATAAGGCGTTACTGTTTTCCATGGGAATTATATAATTTATTATATTTAAAGACTGCTTCAAATTATTTCGGAAAAATATTAAGATTTACATGAGCTGGACCCATTTGAAAATGTTTCCAATAATTTTGTTTTTAATAAATAGAATAAAATTAGTTTTTAAAAAACCGTTTACTTAAAAATCACCTAAGATGGTATAAGAGTTTAAACTTAAAAGGTCTTCATAAAAATGTTTAAAAATTTTATCAACGAAAACAAAATACGTTTTTTGAAGCTATTTTCAAATCGGTCCAGCTCACGTATGTAAATCTTAATGTTTTTCCGTGGGTCTTAAAATTTAATATATTTAATAATTCCTGTGAAAACCCCGCCTCTTTTTTTTTATAGATGCAGCCTTATGTATATCGTCGTTTAAAGTACAAAACCGCGTTGCTTAAATTATTTTCTAGAGAGTAAAAACACTCATTTCAAAATGGTTCTCTTTTTTATAAAGCAATCGCATTTCTGGCTAGTATATTTCAGGACGAATGGATAAGGATTGAGCCAAGAGCTTGTGTGAGCAAATCCAATTTTGGCAGCAAATGTCAGTTACGCGGTTTTGCAGAATAACGATACGCAGTTTAGTACTTTAAACGACGATATGCATTAGGGCGACCACATTTTTTTTGACTACTTACGCGCTATTTTTTTATGGTATATTTTTTCGACTATGCGCGTATAGCACAGAGGGATTCTGTGTGTAATTCTAAACAAATTTGGCGAAGAAATCATGAGTCTAAAATCAATTCGGAGTTTGCCAAATTGCGGAAATAGGTTTCGAAGAAAATGAGAAAATTTTCACTGTGGTGCCCCCTGGTTTTAAGAAAAAAATTGCAGAAATGGATTCCTCATACCAAAAAAACCCTGATAGCATGTTTTTAATATGCTATTTTAGCACTTCTTTGTAGCACTACGGCAAAATGCTAAGAAACCTTTTTTCGCAATTTGGCTAACTCCAAATTGATTTTAGACCCACGGTTTCTTCGGCAAATTTTCTTAATGTTTGCATTTATATATGTACATATGTATGTACATCGTACATATCGAGCCCTAAGCGACAAAAATACGTAAGCGACATTTCTTTTTGATGCAGAAATGTGCATCAAAAATAAAATTTTGAAAAAAAATTTCGCTTACATCTTTTTGGCGGTTAAGGCTCGATATGTATGTATGTAGGTATATTTTTTTTTAGTTAATATCTATTTCTTTCTTATGAAAGTGCCCTGCTGATGATGTAATACCAAAGGTTCCGCTATTATTGGCTAACGATGAGATTGAAAGACGCTTGTACGCTGCCATTAAGATTATAGAAGGATATTGGCCCGAATTTAAAGATATAACTACCAAACTACGCAGTTATGTGGAAACAATTAATAAGAGCATTACTGGTTTGATGGCCAACAAACTTTCCCAATATAAAATCATTGCACTTGGTGAACCGTCCATTAAAAACATGCTCGTTGAAACAATACAACGTGTTACCTCTAATGTCAGAATTCTTGATGCAAATGTAGTATTTGTAAGCATATTTAGTGAATATGAACATATGTATATGTACATCATTAGCGCACACAAGGGGTGGGTTTTGGGGTTCAAACCCCCCCTAAAGCTAATAACCTCAAATACAAACTGTATCTTAAAGCTAGGAATCCAGCTCTCAAGGAAATTATAAGAAATATTTATTATAATTTCTGTTGCTTGAAAAAGTGCTTTGCTTTTGCTGTAAATTTTCATGAGGAAATGAATATACGAGCATTTTTTCTTGAGAGCTGCAAACTGATTTAAGAAATTTTGGTAGAAAATTTCTTTTCCATTTCTCGTCCGTCGTTTTATATGAATTTTTCGTTTTTCTTGAGAGTTCAGTTAATTTTTTCGGTATTCGAAATATTAAAAAAATTTAGAAATCGTGAAAAATCACCATTTTTATCGAAAGCCAAAAACCAGAAATCGAAAAAAGGAACATAAAAGAGCAAAAATTCATGGAATCAATAAATTTATTTTTACTGAGTCTTTTTTAATATTTTTTATTAGGTACTTTTGAAAGTTGAGCGCATCTTGAGTTTATAGAACTTTTTATTAAAAAAAGTAGTTTTTAAGGAAAGAACACAACCGACTTCAATTCTTATATTCAAATTTTGGGGGGCGTAAATTACGCGCCGAACCTTGAGGTACCATCTTTCTACAAAAAAATTATTATTGAAATCGGTTTACGTGGTCCAAAGTTACGTATTCCGGCGAATTGATAACCTCCTCTTTTTTTTAAATCGGTTAAAAGTGTTAGAGTTCTGTTAATCTTATGTAAATAAAGTGCAGTTTATGAATTTTAAAACGCTTATTTATTTATTACATTCTGTACATAAAACTTGCATAAATATATTTTAAAGAGCGTATTATCTGAAGAAAATTTTCAGTATTTTCCGGTGATATATCTTCAGAAATATAAAACCCCCCCTAAAATATATTCCTGGGTGCGCCCCTGATGTACATACATACATATTTATTTATATATATACGTATCTACACCAGGGTTGGGCACGCTGCTCTGAATTTTTAATGCACTGAGCAGTTCATTACACTATTCGTGCAGTGGTAGTGAAATTTTAAATGAATTACCACTAGAGGAAATGCATTTCACTACCACTATATGGTTAGTGGCTATACATTTTTGTACAAAGCTGTTGTTAGGAAATGGGTATTAAAATCAAAGATTGCCAAATATTTCAAAATTTGTAAATCAGTGTAATTAGTCAGTGATGGTGAAATTTTCGTTCCCTTACCGATAACTAGATAGTGACAGTAAAAAAGCTATTTCACTATCACTGTGTAGTGCTAGTGAAATTTGAAATGCACTACCACTAACCATATAGTGCACTACCACTAAAGCCTAGTATGTAGTAGTGAAAATTAGCGCAGCGCGCCCAACACTGATCTACACACTCCCACATTTGATTTATATTTGTTTTATTTACTATTTTCTACAGAATAACTTTAAAAATTGCTTCGTTGGATACTGCGGCTATGACTTGAATTTCTTCTTTTTCGCAAATTTGACGTTAGATATGTTGACATCCCATCGTTATGAACTACTTCATTACTATCATGAGCATTTTGCTGCTACATTAAAAAGTTTAAATGAATCCTCCATTCCCAGTTGGGTAACCATTCTCCAAGAAGTACGAGAGTTTGAGTTTATCGGTATTTACGCATTACTTTGCGAAATGCCTATTTATAATTCAGAATACAATTTTCAAAATTGCTGCACATTGGAGTCCGAAAATTCGAATTTTGCGCCAATTTCATTTGAACAACAATATGAAATTCTTTTCAACAGCGACCGCGTAAAGACGTTGTTAAAATATGGGCTGGATCGCTTTTATGAGCTTCATATGTGGGACAAAACTAACTAACCCAATCGAACTAACCAATTAAGTATAGTAATAAAAAAACATAAATTCATATATGTACATTTATGCCCATGTTAATGTGTGAACGCGTAAGTACGCATACGAATTTTTGGAAATGGTTTTAAGTTTTTAACTAAAGAAAAAAATATGAATTATTCATTTAAAACTAAATTTTTAACTTTTACAGTAATATGGCCAAGCAAATCTTATCACAACTTTAGGTAAATACAATTTTTAAAATCATTAAAAAAAATAATTTTTCTCCTAAATATAGTACACACTCTAACAAAAACTAAACAAATAAAAGTTTCAAGTTTTATACAAAATTTTCGAAAAATTCATCAAATTTTCATCAAAAATTCAAATTTTGTTATAAAAATTTTAATGAAAATTTCGAGTAGTTTTTTCCATATAACGCATGCTTTTTATGCACAAGATCTTATGGTAAATAATTAAAAAAAAACACAATTTTTAGCTATTTCAAACGTGCACTTTACTGTACTAAAATTAAATGTGCCATTAAACTGCATACCCAAAATTTTCCCATAAATTTGGATTACAATGTTTACATTTTTGATGAAAATATCATGAATTTTTCTAAAATTTTATACAAAGCTTGAAACTTTTTTTTATATAGTTTTTGTTGCAGTGTGAACTATATTTAAAAAATAAGAATTTTTTACTAATTCACAATTGTACCTCATTTTATTCAAAAAGTGGTGATAAGGTTTGCATGGCCACAGGGCATATATGTATGTATGTATTTCCTTAGTATATATATTTACAAAACGCAAGAATTTGTTCTCATTTCGGTTAAGTTTTCTTATATCACTTTAGTCTTAAGATTTTTCCGAGTAATAAATAAATATTTGCTATTATTATTTCGAAAGTTTGCCTTTATATTTAAATATTTGTCGTTAATAGAATGCATATCAAGGGGTATTGGCACCCTCTGGTATCGCTACTTTCTCTTGGCAGTTTCTTTTTTGGAATTTTTTTAATGAAATTATCGACACTAAACCGATACGAACTAAAAAGTATCGTATGTATTTGTATTTTCTTGTTTTTTTTCCGCAGAAATCAATTCACATGCAATTGTACACAGTTTTTTCGTTAATTTAAATACATACCATATATATAGATATGTACATTAGGGTGGTCCTTAAATGTAGGAAGCAAATTTTTACATCAGACACCCCAAGCCTCAACCCCTACTTCGATACTACTATAGTCGAAGATATCACATACAAATTTTAGGCCCAATTGGACTCGGTAAAGGCATGGCGCGTAGGGGTCAAAATTCAGATTACCCTATGAAGACGTCTTAAATGTTGTGTCAAGACTAAGTTATGTTGACAGGTAAAGGCGTACAATAGTTTTCGTGTGTCAAGGGCCACTTAATATTCGGAATCCTATCGGCTGGAAGGATTCACCTCGGCCGCAGGGTTGCCACTTTTTAAATTTTTATAAAAAATTTGGGTTGGTATAAATTTGAAATTTTAGTTCATTTTGGTAGATTTTTGTTCAAGCATTTGGTTTGAAAAACAAATAAAACTTTTCGTTCTCGCTTTATTTTTCGTAGTTATCTTTATATTATTACAATTTTTTTTTAGTCTATTGCACACTTTTTATATACATACATATCTTTACCTTATTTCACAAAGGCCCTAACCAGCAATTTTTTTATTTTATAGGAGAAGCAAAAAACATTATAAAAATAATATTAAAAAACGGGAGGGCTTTTTAAAAAGTTTAAAATGTTTATTCAAAGTGTACTATTTTAACCCCTTGTTGCCCAAGCCCAGAAAAACATTAGTTTTCGTATTACATTTTGTATACTATAATTCATATGCATGTTTTATTAATCAATAAAAAAAATCATAAATTTCAAGGACATCTTAGTATAAGAAAAGGATATGGTACTTTGCAGTACCGTCGGGTTTCAAGAATACAATTTTTATACTTCAATTCCATGGTATTCGGCGAAACAGTTTTTTTTTTTCATTGCAGCATAAAAATATGCCGCAGTGTTGGCATTTCGAATGTGGTTTTGACTGAACTTTGTTTATGCTACACATTTCACATCTTCCTCGGCTTTCAACAAATATAGGCCAATGTACTCCCAAATTACCTAATCGGACATCTTTTGCCACTGACTCACTCTTACCACGTCGTTTTTTGCATGATGGTGCTACGGGAAGACTCAAACTTCGTTTATTGGCAACAACATCTTTTTGAGTCATTAAGCCTTGGGCCACGGCCCGTCTGTATTCTAGCAGAGTAATTTTTTCGTGAGTTTGACAGTACACGATGTAAGAATTAATGAACGTTATTTCTAGAAGCCCCCAAAACAATCTATGCCACCATTTTTTAGATCGTCTGTCTTTCCCGTAGGCACTTCTTAACTGATCAGCATGGTCTACTCCACCCATGAAAGAGTTGTAATCTTTAATTGCAGTTGGACATTTAACCTGTATTTCTTTCCCTTTCCGATCTCTTCTCTGAACTGAAGTTTGCTCAGTGCCATGAAAATTAGATGCCAATAATATTGGTTTGTTATCTATCCATTTAAAAACAATTACACCGTTCATTGTGGTTCGTGAATCAAACTCGCCTCTTTTCATTTTTTTGTCTGGTTTCATGTTTGATGGAAGTCCTTTCCGATTTGCTCTTATTGTTCCACATGCAAAAACTTTTTGTGCTTGGAGAAATTCTAGGAGCCTAACAGATGTAAAATAGTTATCGAAGTACACGTACTTTTTCTTTCCCCACTCTAGTTCTGTTAAAGACAAAACCACTCTCTCCCCGAGACCAAACCCTTCGTACTTTTCTTCAACAGTTTCATCTTTTCCTTGGTATATTGAGAACTTTTTAATATATCCATGTTGATCCGCCAAACACCATAATTTATAGCCGCGTTTAATTGGCTTCTTTGGGCAATATTGTTTGATGGCGCTTCTACCCTTAAAAACTGATAGTTCTTTTGTTCCATGATATACCTGTTGAAATCGTTGGTTCAGAGCGTCGATCATTGGACGAATTTTGAATAGTCGGTCTTTGTTGTTTTCTGGGATTTTAGAGTTATCATTTACATGCAAAAATCGTAATATTGAGTCAAATCTATTTCGGGACATAGTTTTGGAAACTACGGGTGCAGCCAAATCTTCACTCGTACTCCAATAATGTCGCCAACTTGGAAGTTGATTGTAACCCATAAAGAAGTTGATGCCGATAAATGCATAGAATTCATTTTTTTTAAGATTTAGGGTTTTGTCTTTTTGCACGGCATATAAATTTGAATGAAATATGATTCCCTCAACAATAGTTTCAATGAATGACAAGAAAAATTTTGTTGGAGTATCTATATCTTCAAAATAACCAACTACTGTTCCCTCTGGTGAGTCAAATTGTGAAACCTCTGTTATTTTCTCAACTTTTCTCCATTTTCGCAATGGTTCTTCAAGAACTCCGTTTTGGGGATCTTCCAGTAATATATTTGCCTCGGCAGTTTGTTCTGCCTGGATTTGATTTAGAATCTCATTAAAAATGTCATCCTCACTGTCTTTTGAAAGGATCACTTGTTCATCTTCATCCTCACTCTCAATATCAGTGTTTTGGCCATTGTCGAGTGGAATTTCTTCCAAAATTGCAGCAATTTCATTTTCTCTCAAAGATCTGCCGTAAACTCCAGACATGATTAACTAAAAACTATATATAATTGCATATATACATATACATATTACATTTGAGAATACTACAAGGGCCAGCAGAGCCCAACGGTACTTACAAGTCTCCAATGGAAAATCAGTTATCACTGACAAACAAACAAGAGCTAGATAGTTTTTTCGTCAGTTATAGAAAAATAAATCACCAAGCTTATATTTTCTTTTTATTTTGTAGAAAAATATTCAAAACTTTGCTAGAAATAATGAAAAAAAGACGCCACTATTAACTCGCGACTGCACTATAGTAAACTCCAACTTGAAATGAGCATGCAAAGAAAAAATAGAAAATATGTGACAAAAAGTGCCGTTAAATATGCTTGTTATTTTGTACTCTGGAGTACCGTTGGTCTGCATGGTAGAAAAAATTCACCCATTCTGTTTAAAAGAACAAAAATAATGATGGTACTGGAGAGTACCGTCGGACGACAAGGGGTTAATACATCCAACCAAAATCTGCGAAAAAAGTGTTGGTTAGGGCATTTGTGAATTAAGGTAACGATGTGTATGTGCCAACATATCGTGCTCTATTCAAAACTCATTTTACTAAAATCCTGCGCTTATGATTGCTTGAATATTTCAAATGATTCTTTAAATAAGAAAAAATGGACAGGACACTATGATTGTTCGCAAAAAAACAAAAAAAAAAAAAAACAACGCCAGCTTTTATAAATGCCAATTTGTTCAATGAAAAAAATCAGCAGGATTTTAGGTTTTAAATTCCATGGGCTAATTAAAAGGTCGAAATTTAGACGAAAATGTTTGGAATTTGTTTTAATCTAGACAGCTTGAATGCTTGATTTTTATACAAAAATGGAGCAAAAAAATAGCAAAAAATTTTACTTGAAAAACATTGTGAATATTAAAGAAATTACCAATCTGTTTTTTGAGTAATTGTAATTGTCTATAATAACTCCAGTTAAAGTTTCATTGTTGCCTTTAGTTTTATCACTGCCGTTAATATGATCTCAAATACCATGTATATATAGCTATAGTTTTTATTAAAATACCTAAAAAATATATGGGTAGATATTTTTCTGATTTGGTAATTGGGGTATTCACAGCGGTGTCACATGTGTCGAATTGTTGTATGTAGTAAACTTTAAACGCCTAAAAAATATATTAAATAGGTTCGAAAAGTACCATCAAAGTCATAGTATGAATTTTTGCAGTGTTAAAAAATAGTTGGTTGTCGTTTCACGTCCTTCAAACATTTTTTTAAGTTTTTAAAGCCTACGACATACAACAATACGACACCGTTGTGAATCCCTCAAATGTTTTTGAAGTATGGTAAGTAGTTTTTTTTTTGTGAAAGGCAACCCTGCTTGGGCTGGAAACTGATTTCGGGGAATTCCCTAATTGAGCATAAAATTTAAGTGTTGCCGCAAAACTCAATTTTACTACGACAAAGGGGATTCTTGGCCGAAACTTGTTCCTTGGTGACAACGTGGTTGATTTTACTTCCGTTTATCATATTTTTTACCAAAGTACATATAATTGCTGTGGTTTTAACTGAAACTGAGCTGAACACGTTAAAGTTTTATATATTTGTTTGCTTTTTAAACATTGATACAAAATGTCCAACAAACTTAGTGATGCCATTGGAAAATATCTCGAAGACGCATTCGGAAATGAGCAAACCGAGAGGTTATGGTTCAAATACTGTCTCGTAACTTCTTCAGTGGATAAGGGACGAGAAATTCATGTAACATATCAAATCGAAAAGAAAGGAGAGGATCCGGATCAATGCGAAACATGTATCTTGCCCGTCGTTTTAAAAGCAGAAAATTCAAATGCAAGCAATTGTATTGACTTTTCAATGCATTTGGTAGTTTTACCCAAGATGAAACAAATTTATGAAGATATTTTGGAGTGAGTATACAGTGTTTTTTTTTAACAAAGTAGGCATAATAGTTAATGGCCTCTTCAGACGCTGCGGCAACTCCAGCTCGGACGCAAATCAAAGCCTTCTAAGGGAAGACGTGAATGATCCGGATAATTCGAGTAATTCGGATGATGATATGTATATACCACAGTTTAGCCTACAGTGAGTGGACATACATATGTATATAGTTTTTTAAGCAACTTTTGTTTAAAAGTTAACCTCTTTTTAGATACCATTATTGCGACGATAACATCTTGGTGTTGGAGAATTTTACAAAATTTCAATGCGTTAAGAGAAGTGAAATGTGTTTCGACAAAGCAGAAGCAGTTATAAAAAAACTTGCGCAATTTCATGCCATATCGATGGTTTATTTAAAAGAGGTTATTTCTATTAATAAGTTCTCCATTATTTTGTAGCTATACTAATTTTTGTTTGTTACTTTACATATACTCAAGCATCCTGCTAATGGAATTGTTTTCCAAACTCCGCCATTGTTGGCTAAAGACGATGTAGAAAAACGCATGCATGCTGCCATTAAAGCTGTGGAGGAGATTTTCCCTCAGTTTGAGGAAATCTGTACAAAAATGCGCAAAAATGTGGATTCATTTCATCAACGCATTACTGATTTGCTGGAGAAAAGACGTTGTCAGTTCAAAGTGATCGCGCTTGGTGATTTATCAATGCAGAATATCATTTTTGATGGCAAATGTGGAAGATATTCTTTGTTTGTAAGACAATTATTACATGTGTACCTACATACACACATACATTTAGTTTTTTTCTAACAAAGATCCTTTTTTGCGCAAATTTTTATTAATAACTAATCGATTCAGTGCTGCAGTTGTTGCTAATAAATTCTTTAGAATTTTAGCGGTTAGTCTACCGCGCAAAGGAATTTTTGTAAATAAGGATGATACATATCGTAGCTTGGCGCGAAATACCTCGTATCTGCCAAATGCAATACATACCACGTATAAGATAGTCCGAAAATTTCACAAAACAGCGAAGCAACTTATTATCTTCAAAACTTTTGAATGATTTTTTTGATTTTGACATTTTTTCTATGCTACCTCATATGTGGTATTGCGCGCCAAGCAACGATATGTATGTGCATGTATGCTCAAACAATTTACTAAATTATACCTTTCTGCAGAAAAACTTCGAAAGCTGTTTTATTGGCAGTTGCGGTTACGACTTAAATTTCTTCTTTAACGCCTGCGTAAGCTTGAAAGTATTAGCCTTGCATCGTTATGACTTACTTCGAGTCTACCATCAGCACCTGACTCAGATATTAAATTTTTTTGACGATTGCTTCGTTCCGAGTTTGCAAACAATTTTGGATGAAGTGCGGGATTTGGAATTGTTTGGTTTCTATGTATTGCTTTGCAAAATGCCTTTTTGCGATGAAGAAAGCGATTTTCGAAAAGGATATGTTATGGAAAAGTCGGTTGTCAAGACTTTCGCATTTGAAGAAGATTACGAAAGAGTACTCCATGAAGAGGACATTCAGGAGATATTAAAATATGGGCTTGACCGTTTCAACGATCTTCGTTTGTGGGACGACAACACAAATGATAATGTGATTAAGAAGGAAAAACAGGAAGATGCATATGGATTCGTTATGTTGGAAAGGCTAACTATTTAACAATGCAAAGTCTATCTACATAAATTGAATTTGAAATATCTTTGAATGCACGCATATGCATACCGTGAGTTTAGTTTGAAATGCATTATTTTTCTTTTAAAATAATTTGAAATGTTTTAGTTACCAAAGTTACAAGCCTTAAATGTTAAATGTTTTCTTTTTGTATGTTAGTTATGCGAAATAATGTTTATTTAGCGTTTAAATCGCTAGTGTTTGCACTGTTTCTTCTTCATGTAAATTAAATATTACAACAAAATTTATTTCTGAAGTGTTATTTAATATATTAACGGTTTTTTTTTTGTAATACGCAAATCTATTTTGCTGTTGTTTTTGTGGCGGCTACTTAACCCTACCTAGAATTGGGTCGTCCCTCAATCGTTTCCATCAAAATAATTTAATGTTCAAGAAATCGTGCTGTATGAGCGGGGCTGGGTTTAGGAGACAAGGTGTGGTTGGTGTCGTGAGCAAAATATTTAAATGCACAACATACTTTGGGGAGTCAAGTTTGGATAAGTAGGAGTTTGAGTTGCTACAATACCCCGACTGTAATAATTTCAGACTAGCGCAGATAACGCGAACCTCAGGCAGCTAAACCTCTTTTCTGCATTGGATGGTGATTGAACTCCGATGGTGGCATTTAGCGGGCGAAGGTTGGTAAAGTTGGTAGCCTCTCTGTCGTTAAGGGCTTGTTCGCACAACGTACGTAACCCCGAATCTCGTTCTTTAGTTGATAGAAATTGGTTCAGGCGTGTATTAGAGGAGCATCTGCTTGATAACAAACAACGGTTAAAAGCGTGCGTCGTCGATCTAAACAGGTAAATCGCTATCCATTCCGGCACGTAGAGCCAGATGACTTGAAAATTATTTGAAACAGGTGTATACCTTTAGTAGTTATCTTTTTCCCCCTTCCAGAGGCACTTTCTAAGCCATGAATTCAAAAAAATTGCTTTTAATTTGGTTGTTTGTTGAATTGTGTTTGCATTTATTTCGTTTTTGTCTCAATGTTTTTTTATTAATACATACATCTAAATACATTGTTTAAAATATACAAACATAGTATGTATGTAATTGCATACACGATAATTGGCTGCGAAACACCAGAGTTAAATAAAATACAGTAAAATAAAACAAAGCAAAAAATATTGTACTGTTAAGATGTGGCAGAGGCACAGCCTCAAATGAGAAAGCGTACAAAGATGTTGCGCGCTTTGCCATTCATCTTGCACTTTGAAGTGTTAATTTTTATACATAAATATGCATGTACTGTACATAGATAGATAAGTGATTAATAAAGTTTTGACAAAATCAAGACGCTACTCAAACGGCAGTGTCGCTGATAAAAGCAACGTTTGAGTGGAGTGTGATTTCGGGTGCCTCAAATCGAAGTAACAATGTAGACTGATTTTGTTTCAAGCATGCCAGGCAAATATACATGGTATATAGTAGTTTAGCTTTTAAAAATGCAGGCAGCATGCACAGGCGATGCACAGGCGACAGGCAACTTAAAAGCTAGTTGTTTTTGTTTGCTGCTAAGCACATAAATTTTGTATTTTCCAGTTTTATGGTTGGCTTAGCAGGTGTTTTTGCCTTTTTAGCGCACAAAAGTATACACTGGGTAGGTGCGATGAGTTACAGCAAGAATCCGTATAAATTGTTTTCTTAATTTTGTTTAAGAATAATATACAGTAGTTACCATAGCAGAAGGCATGAGTTTTGAACATAGAATAATTGAGTACACTCAAATTATAAACTAATTTTGAAATTATTTGTACTTCGTTTAAGGAATATAAGGAATATGTAGTGTAGGATAGTAGCTGTAAAAGGCAAATCGTATGAGAGGCATGGTTTAGAAGCAGTGAACAGCTTTACATCCTTTGAAACTTCGGCTTTTTCGCAAGCCAAATACTTTTGTGAAATTAGCGCTCTTTTGGGTTTACTAAAAAGCGGTAATTGTCACTAAAGCGCAAAATGTGAAGCCCTTTACACTGAAACCATGGCAGTCAGCGATAGATAATTGCATAAATTTTGAATGTTTGACCATGTTGGTGAATAGTAGTTGCTTGGCTACAAATAATACAGTTTTTAAAACGCCAAAAGCTTGAGTTGTTTTTTTTTTAATTTTTGCTGTGTTTGAGCTTCCTTACACATCACATTTTGGCGCTTTAAAAAGTGCATTATATTTTTTAAGAAATATTTGTTCATTTCTTAAATTACGAAAGTTCATTACTGTAACAATAGAAAAAACTTTACGTATGTATGTTTACAAAAATTCTTAACTAATAAAGTGTATGTGTATGCATGTAAATATTCAGTGTTCTTTCTATAAGAATGCAAGTGGTTATTTTTTTGTGTCTGACTGTTAATTTAGTTACGATGATTTGTTGTTTTTTCTTCTAAATGGGTCCAGCACTTTAGTACAACTTACAATAGAGGTAATCGCTTAAACTGAAAAAAGGCTCGAAATCCCCGTAAGACTGAAAACTTTGACTGAACTGTCAAAATTGGAAGGCAATATATTTTTTGACTTTCGGGGTTTTCAGTTATTCAAGGCTTATGTGGATCTCGCTTAGTTGTAAATAATTTCGATTTTTTTCAGTATAAAATTTAGTTAGTACTATGTGTGCTTCGATTTTTGTTCGTCCTACAATTGTTGAAAATCATAGATAATATTTCAATTAAATTTATAGTTCAATGTTTAAAATAAACTATTGGTTTTTAGTTGTGGAGTTAGTTTCTTGTTGTGGGTTTCTGAGCATTAATAGTTAAGTTAAAGGAAAATTTTAAAATAGCAAACAAGATTTGCTAAGCCAGTTTTTTCAAGTTCTTAAATTGCAATTTTTTATGTTCAACAATTGCTCACTTACGAATTATGGCATTTGCAAATAGTTCCAAAATTGCAAAAAAAAAATCTTACGCAACTAAATATGTATATACTAAAATATATATAATTATTTGTATGCAAGTAACTAATGCTACCGCTATAGACTAAAACTAGTTATACACATTTGTATGTATGCATGTACATATATAGTTAATCATATACTAACTACAATTTATAAATGTTTTTAGTGTTGAAATTTGCAACAATGCCGCATTAATTATTGCGCTGTAAATTTCGCTGCAGCGAAAAATGCGCGCTAATGCTATACGCATGTGTGCTATGGCTATGGCTGCTGCTGCTGCCCGAGCTGGTGCGTGCACGCTTGGCGGGTGAGACCTTTTTCGGCGTCTGGGCAAGGCGTTTGCGCTCCTTCATGTATTCTGCAAATAGAAATAAAAAGGTTTTTTAATAAAAAAATTTGAAGCAAAAGTGGTGCAAATGCATTTTGAAATGGAAATATAAAGCAAATGCGTTTTTTTGTTATAAAATTAATTAAAAATCATTTTATACATCTGTAAATAGTACATCCTATGAGTGCACAAGTTATAGAAGACCAAAAAGGGCGCATTTTCGAGTTCATTAAACTCTGAACACCTAACTAAATACGATTTCCCTACAAACAAACAAGGAAGTACGTTCCCTAAGCCACTCAAATTATGCACTTAGCACCTTGTAAGACCGCAAAATACAAACAATCGTACAATAAGAAATTTCCGCACACACGTAGGAAACCAAAACAAACAATAGCGTCAACAAAGGCTACCTACTAAGCAGCAAGGATAGTAATAAAAGCAAAAAAGGACACGCTGCACTTATGAACGAAAAATACTAACAAGAATTCGTAGTGCGTAAGTGGAATAAATACAAGTTTTCTCTAAAAAAATCACAGCGATAAGTAAAGTGCTGACTCTACAAAAAAAAAAAATTAAATAAATAAAAAATAATAGGTTTGTAAAGCGCATTAGAAAAGTAAACACACACACAATAAGTGACTACCGGAACGGAAGGCAAGCAGAAATTAGTGCAGCAGCAAAAGTCACAATGTGCATCCCTTAAGGACACGCAAGTAGGCAAAGCGAAAATTTGGCGATGGAGTTATTTGGACAAAAGGCCGACAGACACACAAGAAGTCAGGCAAGGCAAGTAGGCAGGCATTTCATTCATTTACTCAATGTACACAAAATGCGTAAGAAACGCGTGTTGGCACGTGGCTGGCAGGCAGACGAGTAGGTAGGCTGCGATGTGCAATTCCTTGCCTTTCCAAAGGCGTAGCTCTCGTCAGTGAAGGTAGCACATAGATACACACGAGACGAGTGTAGCAAAGTAAAGCAAAGGCAGTATAGGAGGTAAGAAAAGGAAAGTGCTGAAGGTGCAAAGAAAGCAGTGCTCGTTAGGTAAAACATCAAAGGTATTCAAACAGCGGCGCTGATCGCTAAGTTGAACGGCTCAAGGCTGCGTTTGCTGGCAAGCGTAGAAGGCGTGGGACATAGGCGCCGGTAATTGAGACTTGTAATTGGTGATCAATTGCGGAATTTACTATTTTTGAATCGATAGAAACACTTGCCGAATTTGTAATACAGCGTTAATTGCTTTGATCACTGCTAGATTGGCCAATTAGAGGAAAAGTGTTTGCAGCAAAGCGTTTGAATAATAATAAACAACAACAATAATCATTTTAGCATAAACATTTTGAGAAATTCACATTCAAGTGACTGCCGTAAATTCGAAAGAGTGGAAATTTCGAAGCTCAAAAAAGTTTAAATCTCGGAAATGTATTTTCAATTACATTCAATCAAGATTCACGGTTTTCGAGGATTTTTGGAGTTTAATGTTGTTTCAACAGTTTAATATATAATTCCCCAAATAGATTTGAAAAATTTTGCTGAAGTGGCAGTCCTTTAGCCAGATATAGTATGTATGCAAATCTGGGTCGTTCCGGTTGCGTGACAATCCTTGGCCAGATATAAATCTAGGTCCTTACGGTTACGTAGACCCGACGGCGGTGGGAACTATACTATAGTATGAATATGAGTATTGTGGAGTTTAATGAATATATCTGCTGTAACAAAACTTGTGTCGTACCAAATTATGGTATTCAAGTGCGTAGCAAATAGCGACT